CTATCAATTGGCTCCTCTTCGTCGTCGCTCTGTTAGTACGTCATATGCTTCGTTGATCTGATTGGTTTATTTGGCCCGTCTATCACCAACATAGACCAATCAGCTAACCAGGATTTTCGCCCCTTCCCAAAATTACTTCAACGGAAGGTTTCCAGATGGATATGCGGAGCAAATCCATCTGGGGGAGTCAGGTTAACATATCGGGGCTACCAAGCATATTTCACACTTTATCAGGATACAGTTTGAGATATCAAAAGAACACCTTCGCACAAAAAAGCACATATAAACACAACACAAACATTTCAGCAGAGGGTTACATCAGAGCCTGGAGCCACATGAAAGTAAATCTGACATTTTGAGCATCAGTTGTGTGTGTGTGATGAAATGTGTTTCCAGGGGAGATTTGATAAGGGGGGAGACCCAATCCAAAATAACAATTATTTTTGGGTCATTCCATTGAAAGTGTAAAGATTGAGGTTTTTGATCATAACCTTTTTTTCTTTTTTATTTCTTTCATAGCCTGTAGAACATGTAACACTTGCAATAAAATATATTTTTCAAGCGCAGACACCATTTTCTGCTAATATTTTAGCACATTATATCCAGAGTTTCCTTTTCCACCCCGTCACAGGACAAAGGTTAACAAATTAAAGGGTAATTTTAGATAAAAGTAAGACAAACGAAAATATTCACTTCAGAAAGTGTCTTTTTTTTTTTTTTATACCAATATTGTGTTGAAAGTGTTTTTTTTTTAATGTTTTTATGTTGTACAGCATTAATTCCATATGCAGAACGTTGCCACCATCACAGTGATTCCACCCCATCCGGCTTTAGTGTGACGGGGGGACAATCTAAAGCAATATGGCTCAATTTCTGGATATGTTAAAACCTGATGGTGCCGTTAGCATTAAGGTACAATGAAAAATGAATGATTAATACAAATATAATTTCAAAATTTGATTAACAAATGGTTTTCCCCACTTTTTGTGTGTGACGGGGTGGATATGCTACGGTTAACAGAAAGGATATGGAAGGAAAAATTTACCAAAAATGAAAAAACAGAACTCACCATTGTTTGGATTTTTCTTCTTCAAACTCTTGAATGATGTCACTTCCTGTTAGTGATGTCACTTCTAGGAAGTGTATTGCATTTTGGCGCAAAATAACTTTGGTGTGACGGGCTGGAATATGAAATTGATGGACATAGAAAAATTATGCTATTTCAATAAAAAAATATGACATTTTAATATAATTAACACATTTCCTATTAAGAGGAAAGTATTTCTAACCATAAGAACAAAACATTTTTGAGATTTATTTCATATTTCTTAAGTTTTACATTACACGAATGAGAAAAATGGTCAGAGCGGACATGAGAAAATGATTGATAACATAAAAGGTTATAAATGTGCAAAATATATATTTATTATTCAATTTTATTTGACCTCATGCTACCAACTAAACTTCAATCAATGGCTTTAGACACTTAAAGTATTACTGACAGTTTTATTATGCTTCTTATTCCTCATTGAATGTTATGGACACAAACTTAAAAGTTTTCATGGACTGACCCTTTTATGAGAGCAGGCTGCACAGGAATTTTCCATCAGCCTTCGAGTCTTTTCTTGCCGGCTCCACATGGCGTATCTAATATTCCAAATTTTTGGGGCTTTTCCGCCTTGAAGCGAGCGTCATCCACAGCACATCCAAGATATTCTCCCATCTCACCTTTGAGTTCAACCACCGCCGCCAGCCTGCGCTCAATCGCACCCAGCATATGGCTCAGCTAACGGTCCGGCGCGTTCACAGCCTTTCTGAGCGCATCAACAGCTGCCGGCAGCCTGATCGTTCCCCAAGTTCCCGCCGACATCCTCTGTAATCATAGGTACATCAGGGATCCTCCAAATCCAAACAGGAGAAATCCGAGTATCATAAATCCGAAAATCCACACATCTTCGAAATCCTCCACTGACAACGTAAAACACACCATCCCTCCAAGCCTTCCAGGAGTCCATGGTGTCTCCCTCAAAGTATGTCCCAGCAGGACAGCATGGGTCACCTTTTCTCTGTCTTCCAGTTGAGAAAATTTGATCAACTGCATGAAGAGACCAGCTGACCAGATCCATTGTTAAAGTTTGGGTGATATGAGGAGAGCTCAGAAAGACACGGGACAGCAAAGCAAGAACTACGGAAGAGGATTAGGGCCACTGAAAAAAGGACTGATTTTAGAATTCTGACTTTAATCTCAATTCTGACTTTTTTCTCAAAATTCTGACTTTAATCTCAGAATTCTGACAATAAAAAAAGTCAGAATCCTGAGAAAAAGTCAAAATTCTGACTTTTTTTCCCATGTTAAACTAGGGCTGGGCGATAATTCAATAACGATATATATCGATCGATAGACGTGTGGCGCAATAGAA